AAGCCCTGAGCGGCTGTTAAGCAGCCTAAGTATGCTGAAGACCTGTGAGTCCCGTAAAATCACCTGTGGGATTAGCTGTGTCTGCAGTCATAATAAAATGCCCCTGGGTCAGAATTCACTTCCTCAGTCAACAGTTCCTTGCAAACTTGACCAGAGGCAGGTCCCAGTTCCTTGCCATGACACTTCTCCATAGGGCATTTAACCCTTGGCAGAGAGGAAGGTAGAGGAGGGGTGGGAGAAGAGAGAAACTGCGGAAATGGAAGTGATAGACTTTTGTGACCTCATCTCACAGGTGATACCCCATCATGCTCATTGTTTTCTGTTTAGTAGGAGTGAATTGGTCTCTAGGTCAAGTCTACACTCCGGTTTGTTAAGAATTCCTCTTCCATGAAGCTGCCTTGAACCTTTCTGTCTTGGGGATCTCCGTTTGTCTGACAGTGTAGCTTTTGATGGCTATATCAGAACTTGGCCCCTAATACTTTTTGCCAAGAACATTTTCTCATGTGTTAGTCAATGCTGGGCTTGGTGGTTCCCTCTATTCCTTGTGCCATCTTTACAAATCAATCCAGCCTCTTATTCCTCATGAAAGACAGCAGACCACATTGTCTCCAACTCTGTGTCTCCTGACTCACCCAGAATCTTAACTTCCATTCAGCAAGAGCTTCAGAAATGACACCTTTGTGCCCATTCTTCTTAATATACAGATGTGATTGTGAAACCATTGTATTTTGAGATAATAGTAATATATAGTGGTAAGAAACAATGCAGAGAGATCCTGTATATTCTTCACCTACTTTCCCCCATGGTATCAACTTGTATTACAGTATTGCAACAGGAAATAATATTGATATGATCCACCAACATATGGATCTTATTCAGACTTCACCAGTTATACACCCACTTATGCATGTGTGTGTAGTTAATGCTATGCAATTTTATAATGCATGGATTGTGTGATCACCGTAGTGAATACACAACAGTTCCATCAAAACGATCCCTTGTGTTGCCTTTTTATAGTCAGTCACCTCTCCTTATCCCCATCTGCAAGAAACCTCTGGCAACCGATACTCTATTTTCCATCTCTAATTTTATCATTTCAAGAGGGTATATAAATAGAATCATATGTATAAAATGTCTTGAGATTTGTCTTTCATTACTCAGCATAATTCCTTGGAGATCCAACTAAGTTATTATATATATCAATAGTTTGTTCTTTTCTTTTTTATTCTGAGTTAGTGGTATTATACTAACATCTGTTTAATCATTTACCTTTTAAAGGACATTTGGGTTGTTTCCAACACTAGACTATTATGAATGAAGCTGCTGTGAATATTCATGTATAGATTTTAGTGTGAACATAAGTTTTAAATTCTCTGGGATAAATGCCCAGGAGTGCAATTGCTGGGTCAAATGATAAGCACATGTTTAGTTTTATAAGAAACTGCCATACTCTTTTCCAGAGCAGTTGTACTATTTTATGTTCCCACTGGTATTGTATGAATGATATGGTTACTCCACATCCTCACCAGCATTTGATGTTATAATTTTTTATTTAGGTCATTGATAGGTATGTAGTGATAGGTCATTGTAGTTTTAATTTGCATTTTCCTATTGGCTAATGATGTTGAATATCTTTTCATATTGTTATTTGTGTGTCCTCTTTGGTGAAATGCTTGTTCTTGGCCTTTTGCCAATTTTCCCATTGGATGGTTGTTCACTTACTGTAATTTTTTGACAGGTTTTTATATCTTTGTAGACATGAGTCATTTGTCATTTACACTTCATGCAAATATTTTCTCCACTTCATAACTTGTCATTTCATCCTCTTAACAGGGTCTTTTACAAAGCAAAGTTAAAAATTTTGTGAAGTCCAATTAAGCCATTTCCCCTTTTAAATGTTTTAAATAAACTCCTTTTCTAATTCTAAAGATTTTCTCCTGTCTTTTTTCTAAAAATTGGTACAATTGCATTTTTATATTTTAAGTCCATGTGCCATTTTGGGTTAATTTTTACATAAAATATGAGTCTTCAATAGAAATTCATTTTGCTGTTGTTTATGGCTATTCAGTTGCTCCAATTATTGAATAGGTTATCCTTCCTTGAATTGCTTTTCCTTTTTTTCCCAAAAATCAGTTGGGCATCTGTATGAGTATATTTCTGGGTTCTCTTTGCTATTTCACTGATTTATGTCTCTGTTTTCTTTGCCAAAGCTACATGGTTTTGATTACTATAGCTATATACTGGGGCTCAATATTGGACAGAATAATTTCTCCCACCTTAATCTTTTTTCAAGATCTTTTCAGCTATTCTAGCTCCTGTAATGTTCCTTAAAATTTTTTAAATAAGCTAAAATTCTTGCTTGGATTTTTATAGTAATTGCAATAAATATTTTGAGCAATTTAGGGAGAATTGGCGTTTTAAAATCCTTTCATTCATTAACATGGTATACCTACCTCTCCATTTATTTAGGTCTTCTTCTATTTATTTTATCGGTATTTTGTCATATTTATCTATAAATTCTGTACATACATTGTAAGAGTTATGCCTAACTATTTCTTCTCTGGAGCCATTGTAAAGTTTTTAATTTCACTTTCTACATGTTCATTCTTTGTACATTGAAATGTAATATATTTTGTGAGTTGACCTTGTATCATGTGTCCTTGCTGAAATTCACTTATTAGTTCGAGGTTTCTTTGTTTTGTAGATTCCTGAGAATTTTCTACATAGATAATCATATGATCTCTAAACAGTTACAGTTTAACTTCTTTTCTTCCAACTATGTGTCTTTTGTTTCCTTTCCCCCATTATTGTACCAGCTAGAACTTCCAGTAATATGTTCAATGCAGTGGTGAGAGAAGGTATTTTTCCTTTGTTTCAAATCTTAGGGGGAATGCATTTAGTGTTTCACTTTTATGATATTAGGTGAAGTCTTTGGCAAAAGTTTTTTTTTTATCAAATTGAGGATATTCACCTTCTATCCTAGTTTTCTGAGAGTTTTTATAATTAATAAATGTTGACTTTTGTCAAATGCTTTTATGCATAAATTGGTAAGATCATACAATTTTTTCTTTTTAGCCTGTAAATATGGTAGATTTCATTTAAAAATATTTAATCAGCCTTGCATCCCTGGAATAAATCCCATTTGGTCATAGTGTTTAATTCTTTTTATATATTTATTGTATTAATTTACTAAAATTTTCATTGAGAGTTTTTGCATTTAAATTCATGAGAGATATTGACTTGTGACTATTTCTTTTCACTATCTTTTTCTGGTTTTGGTGTTAGGTTTATATTAGCCTCACAAAATGAGTTGGCAGTGTTGGTTAAAATATATTTATACATATATGAATAAGATATGAAAATATAAATAAAATCTTAAAGATATATGTATTAAACATGATATATTTAATACAGATTATAAAATAAATTACATAATATTATAATATAATTCCATATTATAGCAATATATATTATCAATACAATAATATAAAATATGTAATATATAATATAACATGAATATAGCTACATATAAATTTTCTTAAGTGTATTCTTTATGTATATTGAGTGACATGTCAGATGTTACAATTTTTGCTTCAATTATAATTTACGATACTAATGAGAAGCATAGTCTATTGTATTTATCCCTCTTTCTACACATTCCAAAGTTCTTTTTTCTCTTCTGAAGTCCAAATGTTTTTGAAGTGAAAAAAATAGAAATTCTCAGGAAAGAAATAGCAGTAATTTTAAAAAACTTTGTTTTGATAACTTCTTTCACTCAATCCTGAAGGAAATATTTGCCAACAATAAACTCTCTTGTTTGCTTTCATCTGAGAAGGCCTCTTTCCTTCCTTCATTTCTGAAGTATATTTTCACCAAATATAGAATTTATAGCTGACAGTTCTTTTTACAGTACTTGGAAAATGTCAAACCCCTTCCTTCTGGCCTCCATAATTTCAGACAAGAAATCCGCTGTCATCCAAATTAAAGTTCTCTTATAAATAATGTGTTGGTTTCAAATGCTTTCAATATCTTTTCTTTGTCTTTATTTTTCAGACATTTAATTATTATGTGGAACTCTTTTACATTTATCCTGTTTGAGAATCACTCAGCTTTTGAATTATGTCTTTCTCCAAATTTGGGAGAGTTTTCAGTCATTATTTCTTTGAATACTTTTTCAATCCTTCTTTTTCTTCTCCTCTGGAGACTCGGAATATGAATGTTACTCTTTTTCTTATTGTCTCGATGTCCATGAGAATCTGGGTTTTCCCCCAGCCTTATTTTCTCTCTATTGTTCAGAGTTGAAAACTTCTATTGATTTGTGCTCAGGTCATCTGATTCTATTCCTGGACATTCCCACTACTATTGAGCACATCCAGTGAGGGATTTTTTCCCCCTTGTTATTCATTTATTGCTATTTGATTCTTTCTTTTACAACTTCCATTTTTTCTGAGTTTCTATTTTTAATTTGTTTTAAAAGAATTCATAATTGCTTGTTGAAACATTTTTATGATAACCCCTGTAAATTTTTGACAGTTCCAACCTCTGATTCATCTCTGTATTGATGCCTGTTGATTATCTTTTTTCATCCAAATTGTAATTGGTTCTTGATATTAGGAGTGACTTTCTGGTCTATGCTAGACATTTGGATATTGTATGATGAGACTGGATCTTATTTAATTTTTCTTTTTGAGCAGGCAGTCTCCCCATTGAGGGAGCACAAATACTGACTCACACTGATGCTTTGTGGATGGGTGGGTGGCAGTTAGTTCTCTCCTGGGCCCTGATGACACCTTTCAGTGAAAGGTGGTTGGTTGGGGAACCAACTTGCACCATCTGACTGTCTCTGAGCTCTGGCACTAGGCTCCACTGGCACAAGGACTGGAGAGGTGGAGAGCTAACTTCCATTCTTTGTTATTGAAGAGCAGGGGGCAGAATCCCTGCTGATGCCAGGGCTGGGAAGAGGGACACTCTTCTTATACCTCTTTTTTTGCCATGTGCAGGAAATTTTTGTTGTAAGATGGAGGACCTGGGAGGAATAGGAATATTTCATTTGTCCTACGCTGGAAGTTCAGGTATGGTTCGACCTTCCTATTTTCTATCTGTAAAATGGGTGTAATAATATCTACTTCATCTGTACTGCAAAACTATGTTTGTCTATTTGAAAGTACACTGGTGAATGTTATGCTAGTGGAGACTTTTATTAAAATGATTGCTCTTTCTGAAAATAGGGTCTGGTAAGATGCAGTTTGAGAAGAGACAGAATTCTGGTAGGACCACTCCATTTTCCTCTGTCAATTTAATGTTGGTGAAAACACACTTGATAGGCAGAGTCAGCCTTCTATTGCCTATTTCTCCTGTTTCCTTTGAGTCTTTTGAGAATTTTCTCTTGATAAGCAATAACCCTGGAAAAAGCTAGAGGAAAAACGAAGATTAGGGTCATAGCAAGGAGAGGGCTGTAAAGTAGCTTTAAAGAGCCTAATAAACCAGGATAATTGAATGCAGTAAGGATGTGGCTGGTACAAGGGAGGAGGTGTCAGCAGCACCTTTTCAAGGGAAACAGTTACAAAAGGCAAATAATGACGAACCCAAGAGGGAAGAAAAAAGTCATAAAGGGAACCCATCAGATATAGGGATAGCCATTCAGAATGGTCAGTCTCTGCCTTACTTGGGGGCCATAGGTAAGACTACCCATTAGAGTTATCCCAACATCACCGGGCAGGATGACCAAGGTCTCACGTGTTTATGGTCCCCATCTAGGAAGGCAAAGGGATCTGGACCTCCTGTGTTTTAGTCCCAGCTTTTTTGCCTCATGTCTATATGATCTTGGGTAAACTCCTTAATCCCTCTCAGCTTCAGTTTTTCCTGCTGTAAGATGAAGTTGGTAAAGATTCCAATCCCACCAGGTTATCTGAGGACAAAGATGAGGGAGAATGTGGATCATCCAACCTGCCTATAATAGGTAATCAAAGTATAAGGTGGTTTCCTTCCTGGCTCCAGGCCCAGGAATTTTGACCTAGTCTGGGCCTAATTTGTCTAGTCTGGGCTTGGGCTCTAGGAGAGATGCTCTGCCATCATTTCCTCCATTTAGTGGCCCAAGTGGGAAAAGCAAGCCAAGGTGACCCCATCCTAATCACTTCTCCAAAATACTCAACATTCCAGTCTCCTGGTTTCCTGTCCTCCCTTGTTCTAGAGGGTCTCCACTGGGCTCGTCATATGGAGGGCTTTGGAGGCCTGTTCCATGAGGCTGCCCTTGAGGAAGGGGTATTCAGTGGGGGCCCAGGGCAAATCAAGGGCCAGTGCCATTTTCCAGTCCCCTTCCCTGGGTCTAAATGAAGTTCAATTACCGTATTAAACTATAAGTTCTGAAGATGGGGGCTACACTGTCCTGTACATGATTGAGGTATCTCACCTAGTGCTGTGTTAGAAACTAGCTCGTACCAATTCAGGAAAGCCAACTGAAATTTTGTGCATTGATTGTTAAACATAGACATTATTAAAAATTACATTATAAAAATGTAAATAAATTGTAAAGAAAGATAATGAATACTCAAAACTAACCACTTCCTAATTAGTATCATCTCTATTCTTGAGATTATTTATTCTATTATGTCTGTAGGGTGGACACACTGGGTAGCAATGTGCAACTGTGATGCCATGTTGGAAGCTTAACCTTGGCCACGGTGAGAGTATTTATACCACAGTAATCACCAAACACTAAAACCAGAGCTTGATTTATTACTTGGTTGATTGTCTAGATGTAAGAAAGTATTGGAGAAAATGTTAATAATGTAGGTTAAACTTAAAAGTGTGTCATGTTAAATTGAAAATAGCATAAAGAGTTAAATACTGGGTCGCTACATGCAAAAGAATGAAGCTTGACCACTACCTCACACCATACACAAAAATCAACTCAAAATGGATTAAAGAACTAGACATAAGACCTGAAACCATAAAATACATAGAAGGAAATATAGGCGAAACACTATGGGATTTGCACATCAAAGACATCTTTACAGACACATCACCCAAAGCAGTGATAGTGAAGAGAAAGATAAACAGCTGGGACTACATCAAATTAAAGAGCTTCTGCACAGCAAAAGAGACAATAACAAAAACAAAGAGAAACCCCACCAACTGGGAGAACATTTTTGCACCCAACACTAATGATAAAGGACTGATCACAAAAATCTGCAAAGAGCTGATGAGACTCAGCAACAACAAAGAAAATAATCCAGTCAAAAAATGGGCAGAAGAGCTAAAAAGAAACTTCTCTGAAGAGGAAATGCAAATGGCCAACAGACATATGAAAAAATGTTCAACATCACTTGTAATCAGGGAAATGCAAATCAAAACTACCATGAGATACCATCTCACACCAGTGAGAATGGCACATATTAAAAAAACTAGCAACAACAAATGTTGGCGAGGATGTGGAGAAAAAGGAACTCTTGTGCACTGTTGGTGGGAGTGCAAACTGGTCCAACCACTATGGAGAGCTGTGTGGAGATTTCTGGACCTACTAAACATAGAGCTTCCATATGATCCAGCAATTCCACTCCTAGGTATTTACCCAAAGGACACAGAAACATCAATTCCAAAGAGCACCTGCACTCCTATGTTTATAGCAGCACTGTTTACAATAGCTAAGCTTTGGAAACAACCCAAATGCCCAAAAATAGATGACTGGATCAAGAAGATGTGGTACATATATACCATGGAATATTACTCAGCATTCAAAAAAGATAAACACATGCAATTTGCAGCAACATGGATGGCACTGGAAGGGATCATGCTCAGCGAAATAAGCCAAAAAGAAAAAGAAAAATACCGGATGGTCTCACTCATAGCAGGAATCTAGAAAACTTAAATAAGGGACCAGGAAAATGAATATAAGAAAGTGAAAATCAAAATCAACAAAAAACTATGAACCAGAGACACTTTTTGGGGGTGGGGGTGGGAGGGAAGGATTGGGGTTAGAATGGGGCGTTTGCAATTGTATGGGGGAATATAAAAATAAAATTTAATATTTAAAAAAAAAAAAAAAAAAAAAAATCCCTCATATTAAAAAAAAAAAAAAAAAAAAAAAGAGTTAAATACTATTCCAGAATTTGGTAACTATTAGTAAATTCAGCAAAGAAATCCCCATTCCATTAATGAAGGATTGTAGTTTTGGCACGCACCTTTGCTATTTTACTTTTCTCTTAATTGTAAACATAAATGAAAATACTAAGTACCATGCAGGATGGACTTATTTGCATAGACCCAGTTGTTAAACATTAACCAACACAGCCCCTGCCCCCACCATGACTAAAATAGTTTTTGGATGACTGCAATCAGTGAAAACAAGCAGCAAAGGACATGTGGGCCAACTTACCTTTTGCCTTGGTGGTGGTGACCTTGCAGGATTTGGGCGCTGTTTCCCTCACCATCCTTGCTTTATTTTCCTTTGCCTTTGTTCAGCTGTGCTTTGGCCAAACTTCTAATGTCCACACAAAGGCTGGGAGGAGGGGCAAGGGTGCTGCTGGAGAAGAGAACTGTATTTCTAACAAGACCCCTCCGATCCCCCAATGTGATGTTAAAGATGGTCATGAACCACGTCTTCAGTGGCAATGTTCTTGCTGTACCCACCTCCTTCTAATGAGCTGGAATATGACCTTTGACCTTTCCACCATGTGACCTTTGACCGTCCCATGTCCTTTCTTGGAATGCTGATTCCCTGACATTCACACAGCTGGCTTTCATGCTTTCAGGTCTCTGTTCAAATATGCCCTCTCAAAAAAAAAACAAAAAAAAACCCTGATTACTCATTCTAACACACTGCCCTTCTCAGTTCTTCACATAACACAAGCTGATGTTTTCTATTTACTCGTTGTCAGCTCCTCTCACACTAGAATGTAAACTCCCTGGGAGCTCTCCTGCCCCCTCTGTAACTTTAGAATAATAGGTGTTCAATAAATATTTGTTGAACAATGGCGATGATATTAAGGGTGGTAAGAAGTGCTGGAAGTGATGCTGGGTCATGGGATGGGGAGATTTACAGCTCAACTGCATGTAAGTGAGCAGTTTTCCTAAATAATAGACAGGGGATCCCTCCATTCGATCGATTTGATTCCTCCACTGTCATGGCCCAAATGCACAAATGCACACCCCAACATTTCCCTATTTGCTTCCTCCAGTGCAGGCTTTCTAGTGTGTGGGTGGAAGTACAATGGGACCCAGCTGAGGTGCTGCATACGTGCTGGTGGGAGGCAGCTCTCAGTGGTTTCTCTGGGTTGGGCACTGGTGTGAGGTATGGGACTCAGTTATATAGCCCCAGAAGCATGTTCTGGCCAGTCATGTGCCCCTACATGTTTTTTGGTTGTGTTTTCTCTCTGGTATTAAGTTGGGCTGTGGCTTGTCTTGCTCTCCACTGCTGACTCAGCCAAGCATTTTCTGGAACTCTTTGATTTTGAGGGGAAGATGATATTTCTCTAGTGTCCTGAGTCCCATGAGGCTAATCTTGACATTAAATCAACATGTGGAGTATCTGGTGTCACTTCTATATTTATAGAACTACTGTCTTGATTAATATCAGCAGATAGCACATGTTGAATAAAATACCCCCCTCATGTGCCAAGTGCATATTTCATCTTGTTTAATTCCCCCAAGAATCCTATGGAATCATGTTATCCCATTTTAGAGATGAGGCACTTGAAGCTCACAGAAGTTAAGTCATTTGCCCAGGGAGGACAATGAATCATTAAACCAGGGATCACAAACTCAATTGCCTGGAGCAGGGGTCTGAAAAATTCACAAAGGGCCACATCATAGGTATTTTGGATTTTGTGGCCAGATGGTCTCTGTGCAGCTACCCAGGTCTGCCACTGAATTGTGAAAGCAACCATAGGAAGACAATTGAGCATAGCTGCATTCAAATAAAACCAGGAAAACAGGTGCTGGGTCAAATTGGACCCTTTGGCGTAGTTTGATGACCTCTCACCTACAGAGGCCATTAAAATAAATGAATAAAACAGACCAGAAAAAGAACAAACCTAGTATGTTCCTTTGTTC